AATATCAAGTATATCGAAACAAGAACACTGTCATGTACGATGCGCCGTACCTGAGCGCGCGAAAAACAGACCACCAGATAGGTCACTTTTAAACGCTTATAATTCAAAAAGTATTGTAGCCTCGACAATATGGCATTAGAACTTTCGTCTCAAAATGATCTCAGGAATACGTCATTTAATTTAAGGTCGTGAGTTGTGGGACACTCTGTATATTATATATTATATATATTATAATATATATTATATATATATTATATATTACATATATAATATTTTTAATTATATATTTTGAAGAAGAGAAGAAGACGAAAGAGAGATTGCAAGAAGATAAGCATTCCGCAATACTTGCACAAGTCTCGGTGCTCCATTCGAGTCATCTATCATGCATGAGCAAGTCTGAACAATCAATCAGAAGTGGCACGAAGAATGACACACTCGAATGAGAGAGACAGAGTTAGTTAAAGGTAACATGGAGATGACTCACAGGAGTGACATATCTACTGATACGCGAGGTCCTGTGAGGAGTAGCAGGACGTTCAGTGTCGTTGAGCGAAGATTGAGTGCCTAAAGATCCCATGCTTATCCCTGTGAACTGTCCTACTGAACTTTGTGCACTCAGGATTGTGCGCGGTGTTATTGTCGACGCGGAGTCTGACTCAAAGCTACCACCTTCCTCTTTATCCTATGATCAAGCAATCCGTTAGATGTTTTCGAGTTTCTATCGTCGGTAATAAGTACATCTTTATCGCGAAATTACCCAACGCGCGGCAGCCGATCCAGAAACTTATAATGTGTCTATCAATCAGAAAACTGTCTCGATAAATAAAAGATCACTTCTATTAAGTGGTAAACTTAATTCCTGTCGTTTTTTTTTCTGTCTCCAAAATTGATTTATTTCGAAAGGAAGATGAATGAATATCTTAAAGTAATTTCTTCCATTTTTCTACAACTTTTTTCCATCTCTCCGGCAACAAAACAATCCCACGACGGTGGAATGCGATGTCTTTCGAGGCGATCCATTTTGTCAACCCATTTTTTGGACTTCTTCGTAACTGGAGAAATGTGTGTCCGTAAGTGCGTATTTGCATCTACCGGAAGAGATGATAATCCGACCAGATGCCAGGTCTGGAGAGTACGCTGGATGCGGGAGAACTTCCCATTCAAGCTCTAGAAGTGTCTGCTTTTTGCAACATGCGGTCGAGCGTTATCATACAAAAAAAAATTACTTTGCGTCGATTGTTGGCTACGAATGGCTTTTTTTTTCGTTATTCAATCGGCATAATTGTTGTTAGTAACAATCAGCTGTAACGATTTCATTTGGACACAAGAGTTTCTAATATAGCACACCTTCCTTTCGGCTGTCCGGGACGTTTTTTGTCTCTCACGTCAAAATCACCATTTCGGAAGCGTTCAAACTAAACTCTACATATTTTTTCCGATGGAGTTTCATCACCATATATTTCGGATGACAAACGACGCGTTTCAGCTACAATTTTCTTGAGGTCGAAGTAATAAAGAAGCACTTGTCGGAAAAACAGCTTATCGCGGTTTATTTTTAATTAAATTTTAAATGATTTAATAATATTTAAATATAATAAAATTAGATAGGGGAGTAAACAGGGATTTCTCATATACAAGTATGCATGTATAGCATCCTATTTAGAATTTAGAAATTAAACTTTCAATTTAAACTCACGTGTAAATTTTTTATACGTGAGTGTAATATAAATATACAGGGTGTCTGACAATTGGTGTAACATCTCTCGCAGACAGATAGAAGGAGTAAAACTGAATCAGAAAGTTCTATATACCATTTTGCGAGATTCGGAATAGTTACCGAGATCTTAATTAACAAAGATCCGCGAATGAGCATGCGTAAGACAGCCCCACGTGCTTCGCGCAAATATCTTTTGTTATGTATATGCTGTTATATTAGCTCTTCTCATACATTGCTACGTAACGGGCGTATTCCGTTTGACCACGGTAC